TTATGGAGACAGAAAGTTGAATGGTGGTTGCCAGGGGCTGGAGCGGGGAGAGAGAAATAGGGAAATTCTGTTTAACGAATACAGAGTTTCTGTCTGGAAAGATGAAAAAAGTTCTTTCCAGATGGATGGTGGCAATAGTTGTATAACAATGTGAATATACTTAATGCCACTGAACTGTGCACTCAAAATTGGTCAAAAGGGTCAAGTTTATATTATATATTTCACCACAATTTTAAAGATGAAATTTAAAAGAAAATCAGGGCTGAGCACAGTGGCTTACCCTCATGCCTAGCACTTTGGGAGGCTAAGGTGGGTAGATCACCTGAGCCCAGGAGTTCGGGACCAGCCGGGTAACATGGCAAAAATCTGTCTCTACACAAAACATGGGAAATGAGCCTGGCATGTTGGTGCACGCCTGTAGTCCCAGCTACTCGAGGCGGAAAATCACCTGAGCCCAAACAGTTGAGGCTGCAGTGAGCTCTGATCCTGCCACTGCACTCCAGACTGGGCAACAGAGCAAGACCCTGTCTCAAATAAATAAAATCAACATTGCAACATTTCTCCCAACAGAAGGAAGAGAAACCCTGTGCCTCTGGAGGTTCTAACCGGGGCACACTACCTAATCAAACAGCTGGTTGATTAAACAAGGTATTTTTGTTTCAACTGATCCATGGGATTATTAGGAAGCTGACAGATTTTTAATCTTTTCTCTTTTTAGACTAAAAAGGTCACCCAAGGGGTATCTAGTCCTAAGCAGATTCCTATCAACTACTTTTAATTTTTTAAAAAATACTTTGTTTAAAAAAAAAACTTGGTGTTTTGGTCCCACCCCCAGAGATTGTAATTTAATTGGTCTGGGGTATTGTCTGAGCATGATAATTTGTTGTTGTTTTTGAGCCAGAGTCTGACTCTGTCGCCCACGCTGGAGTGCAGTGGTGCAATCTCAGCTCACTGTAACCTCCGCCTTCTGAGTTCAAGTGATTCTCATGCCTCAGCTACCCAAGCAGCTGGGACTACAGGTGTGCACCACCACACCAGGCTAATTTTTGTAGTTTTAATAGAGATGGGGTTTCACCATGTTGGCCAGGTTGGTCTCAAACTCCTAGCCTCAAGTGATCCACCCACCTCAGCGCCCAGCTGCTTTCAACTACTTTTAAACACCATTCCACAGGAATCCCTCTTAGAGAAATAAGATGGGAATAAAGGCCATAGTCCACACAATATTGAGGCTATTGAGAGACATCTTTGCTCAGATGACCTGCTTCATGTGGTGGGCGCTACTAGAAAGGGGTACTAGGCTGGGCCTGCACTTTGGGTGTGTTGGGCCCAGGCTCTACTTTTAACTAGAAGCCTGTCAGGGGCTGCTTCCAGGGAATGAGGTATCTTCTATCACCTGCACAGAGTCACCTATGTGCTGTCTGCACAGCCTCCTTTCTCGCAGAGACCTGCCTATGAGGCGCTGCGTGAAATGGGGACACCCAGGAGCACCTGCAGGGAAGGCTTCTTGGCTCTAAGCCATCTTCAGATGCTCCTGGAGGGTACGAGTGATAAAGATCATTGACGCCACAAACAGTGGGAATCCCGCTCCTGCAACCATCCCATCTTGCCTGGCTAGCCAGAACTCTGGGTCTTATTTACAGGCTCATGGAGGCAGGGAGCCCTGGTACCTCACTATTGCTCTCCTCCCCTGTTTCATCCAAGTGACATCTGGACATCCAGGAAAGCCCTGCAGGAGATCAGGGGTACCCAGGGGACCAGCTGCCATGGGGAAGAGGCTGGAAGGAAGGAGGAGCAGCCCCCACCTAAGCTGTGGTGGCTGAGATCTTGACATCTCTGGCAGGTGACGCCTCTTTCCTTAGTCGCTTCCAAAGACAGGGCCTTCCCCAGGGTCAGAAGCTTACCCAGGCAGGGGTTGGGAGCAGTCCTGACCTTCCGTGCTCTGGAGGGCCCTGCAGAAGGGCCCAGCAGATGCAGTGGTCACAGCACAAGAAGTCCACTTTGCTCCTGGAACTGACTTGAGGAAGGAGTAGGCTGACTGGGGACTGTGGTGCATCGCAGCATTGTGCTTGGAGTCAGGCTTTCTGGGAACATGGCAGGATTTCACCTGCCATTCCTGAGACCTAGCTCCTGGTGGGAACATTTTCATAAGGCTTTCCGTTTTGCAGCCGATGTCACAAAAGAAACCTAAGTTCTGCCTCTGGCTGTTGTGGCCATCACCTAACTCCTGGGACCCCAGGTTCTTCTTCTACTTACTGAAGGTACTGACCAGGTGGTGGCCCAGGTTTCTGATAGCAACACCAGCCTTGGGTAAAAAAGTACAACACATCGTTCGGAACAGCACCCACACCCAGTGCACACCTGCAAAAGACTGCACTGAGCAGGGCCACATTATGACTTTTGAGGACCCTGGGCACTCTTCCTCTATAAAAATTTTAAAAAGTGTATTTGAGGATTGTGTTGGTTTAATGATGAATGTATTAATAGTATATATTAAAACAACTTCTGCTTACAAATTTGTTTTTCTTAAGATGAAGCAAAACATTTTGTTGTGGGCCCTAGGCAGTGTGCCTGTGCCACTAAATGGATATGTCAGCTCTGCGTCAAGACATGCAGTTAGGAGACAAGAAGGGGAGGGGGTCAAACCTCAGCTGACTTGGGCCATTTAACTTCACCTCTCTGTGCCTCAGTTTCCTCATCTGGGGACAATAATAGTATCTACCTCATAGAATTGATGAGAGGATTAAAATAAAGTCATATATATATAAGTACCTTGATTAGAATGGTGCCTGGCCCAGAAAAAATTACTATGAAAGCGATAGTTGTGGCCGGGCACAGTGGCACACGCTATAATCCCAGCACTTTGTGAGGCCAGGGCAGGCAGATTACTTGAGGTCAGGAGTTCAAGACCAGCCTGGCCAACATAGCGAAACCCTGTCTCTACTAAAAATTAGCCAAGCGTGGTGGCACATACCTCTTATCCCAGCCACTCAGGAGACTGAGGCAGGAGAATCACTTGAACCCAAGAGGCAGAGATTGCAGTGAGCCAAGACTGCACCACTGCACTCCAGCCCAGGTGACAAAGTGAAACTTCATCTCAAAAAAAAAAAAAAAGTGCTAGTTGTCGTGCATGCTATTGTTGGTTATTGTGATTCCCAGCCACTGTGCTCCTCTGGCTCTTAACTGTTGCTGTGCAAGAAGAGTGGAGCTTCCGCTTTTGGGGATGACTTGCTTAGACTTCCCGGGGCAGATGCAGCTATTTTAAAGCTGCTTATTCAGCATAACTGTATTTTCCTAAAATTCCTTGGCAGAATTGCTCATGACGAACGCCTGAGGAAACTAAAGCTACCGGAAATATGGTGGCCTCTTCTTGACCTTCCGTGGGCATCAGTCGGGTTGCGAGTGGGAGGGAGATGAGTCACAGGCCTGTAATCTGCCCCTGCTTTTCTCCTGCTTAGTGGGTGTCAGAGCTCAGGGAATTTAGTGGGAGGCTTTGAGGCCTTTTAAAATGCAAAGGCCTCTGGGATAAATTAATTTCTTAATCCCGTAACAGTCACAAAAGAGGAAGGTCTGACAGCTGGGTTTTTCAGAGAGGACAGGAACGAATGTGTGTCAGGGGCTTTACATACATTGTCTTGTTTAATCTGGACAACAACCCCCTAGGTGGGGATTACTCTCCCCATTTTATAAACAAACAAATGGAGGTTCAAAGGATTGGTGACCTCCAGGCAGGTCACCTCTACTCCTTTCTGCTACCCCAGAATGATGGGACCTACGAGGATCAAGGGCAGAGATGAAGGAGGAAGTGAAGCCAGACTGCCTGGTCTGTCTTGGCTAGACCAAGGTTCATCAGCTGAAATCCTTGGGGCCTCAGTTACCCCAAGAAGAGAGGAAAGAGTTGGGCCAGGGATCTCAAGCATTCTTACCCATCTCCCTGCCTGGTCAGAGCAGATGACTGACTCCTTTCCCAGCTGCTGTGGTCTGAATGTTTATGTCCCTGCCAAATGCATATGTTGCAATCCTAACTTGAAATGGGATGGTACTAGGAAGTGGGGCCTTTGGAAGGTGATGAGATCCTTAGGGTGGAGCCCTCATGAGTGGGATTAGTGCTCTTATAAAAGAGGCCCCAGAGAGCTGCCTTGCCCAACCCACTATGTGAGGGTACAGTGAGAAGGCACTGTCTATGAATAGAAAGTGGGCACTCGCCGCACATGGAACCTGTCAGCACCTTGATCTTACTTCCAGCCTCCAGAACGATTAGAAATCCATTTCCATTGTCTATAAGCTGCCCAGCCTATGGTGTTTTGTATGACAGCCGGAACTGACTAAGACTTTACCCCCCTTCTCCATGGCATTTCTCTAGTTCCTGGGAAGGACAGCCACTGGCCATGCCTCCCCTCCCTGAACCCAGGAGTAGCAGAGCACCTTTGGGCACAGGTGTGCAAGGAGTCTTTGTAATTAGTTAAGTTGTTGTTGCTGCATTGGAAAGCGGGTGACTCCCTCAAAACAGTCAACTCCAGCTAGCCAAGGGAACAAAGTTACAATGCATTGTTCAGACTTCCACCCACACCCAGACACACACACGTGCCAAAATAGTGCAGAGGCAGGACCACATGAGGACTTTGAGGACCCTGGCCACTTCTGACTTCGTGGGCCTCTTCCTCTATAAAAATAACAGAGGAGCTATTTTGTGTCCTGATTCTCCTTGCCTGCTCGTATTTTTGTAGGACAAAAAGTTTGCAGCCACAGGGCCCATCTCCTTTGTGAATGTAAATGGCTTAGTCACTGGCAGGCCCTCTTCAGTCCACAGCCCTCTTTCCCACTTCCTTCCTGCTCTTTTCTCCTCCGGAAAATTAGGGACTCAGAAGTGGAGTTGGGTTTATCTGACTGAGTGGGAAAATCGCACCACCTGAGGAAGGGCTTGCTGGAGGAAGCCAGAGAGAGCAGCACCTCGCATCCGTGGGGCCAACATCCCACCTGGCACCAGGGAAGGACAACTGTACCTCCAAAGGCTGGCCTCATGCTGAAGTCATGTTCATCCACTCTGAGAAGCTGCTGAGGCTTTCCCTTATGGATCTTGGTCACGTCGAGATTCTTCTTATATAAGTGGCTGCGAAGACAAGCAAGAAACCATTTTCCATGGGGTCATCAATGCATTGAGATGATTTGGGAGATTATTCCCTGCAAGATCTACCTGTTAGGCACCTTTTCTCCATTCTGCCATCTCCTTCTTGGCCCAGGGAAGGGGGAGGGCTGAAGGACCCTCCACACACACCCCAGATCCTCACAGGTAGACTGACCTGAGGACCAGATTCTTCCAGAGACTTCCGAAAGTGTATGTCCTCCTGAGCAGGACAGAATTCTACCTTGGCAAAGGCTATAATTGAATTAAAATGGTTGAGTTGGCTGCTAGCTAGACTAATAAAGAAAAGAGAGAAGATCCAAATAAACACAGTTAGCAGTGGCCCACACCTGTAATCCAGCATTTGGGAAGCTGAGGTGGGTGGATTGCTTGAGATCAAGAGTTTGAGACAAGCATGGCCAACATGGTAAAACCCTGTCTCTACTAAAAATAGAAAAATTAGCTGGGCATGATGGCACGCACCTGTAGTCCCAGCTACTTGGGAGGCTAGGGCACAAGAATCACCTGAACCAAGAAGAGATTGCAGTGAGTAGAGATTGCACCACCTGGGAGATGGAGACTCTGTCACACACACACACAAAAATGACCAAGGGGATGTTACTACTGACCCCACAGAAATACAAATAATCAGAAACTACTATGAACAACTCTATGTATGCAAACTAGAAAACCTAGAAGAGGTTGGGTGTGGTGGCTCACACCTGTAATCCCAGCACTTTGGGAGGCTGTGACAGGCGGATCACAAGGTCAAGAGATCAAGACCATCCCAACCAACGTGGTGAAACCCCATCTTTACTAAAAATACAAAAATTAACTGGGCATGGTGGCACATGCCTGTAGTCCCAGCTACTCGGGAAGCTGAGGCAGGAGAATTGCTTGAACCCAGGAGGCAGAGGTTGCAGTGAGCCGAGATCGTGCAACTGCACTCCAGCCTGGTGACAGAGCAAGACTCTGTCTTAAAAAAAAAAAAAAGAAAAGAAAAAGAAAACCTAGGACAGATGCATAAATTCCTGGACACATACATAGCCCCGACCAAATACTGAACCAGGAAGAAATTGATTCCCTGAATAGACCAATAATGATCTCTGAAGTTGAATCAATAATAAATAGCCTACCAACCAAAAAAAAAAAAGCCCAGGGCCTGATGGATTCACAGCCAAGTTCTACCAGATGTGCAAAGAAGAGCTGGTACTATTCCTACTGAAGCTATTCCAAAAATTTAGGAGGCAGAACTCCTCCCCCAGTTCATTCTATGAGGCCAGCATCATCCTGATACCAAAACCTGGCAGAGACACAACAATAAAAGAAAACTTCAGGCCAATATCCTTGATGAACATTGAGGCAAATAGTCCTCAACAAAGTATTTGCAAACTGAATCCAGCAGCCCATCAAAAAGTGAATCCACCACAATCAAGTAGGCTTCAACCCCAGGATGCAAGATTGGTTTAACATATGCAAATTAATAAATGTGATTAATCACATAACAAAACTAAAGACAAAAGCCACATTATTATCTCAATGGATACACAAAAGGCTTTTGATAAAATTCAACACTCCTTTGTATTAAAAACTCTCAATAAACTAGGTATTGAAGGAACATACCTCAAAATAGTAAAAGACATCCATGACAAACCCATAGTCAACATCATACTAAATGGGCAAATGCTGGAAACATTCCCCTTGTAAAAACAGCACAAGACAAGGATGCCCTCTCTCACCACTCCTATTCAACATAGTATTGTAAGTCCTGGCCAGGGAAATCAGGAAAGAGAACAAAATGAAGGGCATCCAAATAGGAAGAGAGGAAGTCAAACTATCCTTGTTTGCAGATGATGTGATTCTGTATCTAGAAAACCCCATAGTCTTGGCCCAAAAGCTCCTTCAGCTGATACACAACTTCAGCAAAGTTTTGGGATACAAAATTAATGTGCAAAAATCACTAGCATTATTATACACCAAGAATGGTCAAGCCTAGAGCCAAATCAGGAATGAAATCTTATTCATGATTGTCACAAAAAGAATAAAATACCTAGAAATACAGCTAACCAGGGAGGTGAAAGATCTCTGCAACGGGAATTACAAAACACCACTCAAAGATATCTGAGATGACATAAAGAAATGAAAAAACATTTCATGCTCGTGGGTAGGAAGAATCAATATTAAAACAGCCATACCCCCCAAAATAATTAATTTATAGATTCAATGCTATTTCTGTCAAACTACCAATGTTCACAGAACTAGAAAAAATTTTTCAATTCATATGGAACCAAACAAATAGCCCAAATAGCCAAAGCAATCTTAAGCAAAAAAAAAAAAACCCCAAAACAAAGAAAAACAAAAAAACAAAGGTGAAGGCATTACATTACCTGACTTCAAACTATATTACAAGGCTACGGTAACCAAAATAGCATGGTGCTGGTACAAAAACAGGCACATAGACCAATGAAACAGAATAGAGAGCCCAGAAATAAGGCTGCACACCCACAACCATCTGATCTTATACAAAGCTGACAAAAACAAGCAATAAGGCAAGGACTCCTTGTTCAATACATTGTGCTGTGTGAGCTGGCTAGCCATATGCAGAAGATTGAAACTAGACCTGTTTTTTACACCATGTACAAAAATCAACACAAGATGGATTAAATACTGAAGTATACAACTCAAAACTATAAAAACCCTGGAAGACAACCTAGATAATACCATTCTGGACATAGAAACTGGGAAAGATTTCATGATGAAAACGCCAAAAGCAATTGCAGCAAAAACAAAAATTGACAAATGGGATCTTTTAAACTTAAGCACTTCTTCACAGCAAAAGAAAGTATCAACATAGTAAATAGACACCCTATAGAATGGGAGAAAATATTTGCAAGCTATGCATCTGATAAAGATCTAACATCCAGCATCTATAAGAAATTTAAACAAATTTACAGAAAAAAACAAACCCCATTAAAAAGTGGGCAATAAATTGGCACAGTGGCTCCTGCTTGTAATCTCAGTACTTTGAGAGGCCAAGGCAGGCGGATCACTTGAGGTCAGTAGTTCGAGACCAGCCTGGCCAACATGGTGAAACCCATCTCTACGAAACAAAATTTAGCTGGGTGGTGTATGCCTGTAATTCCAGCTATTTGGAAAGCTGAGGCATGAGAACCACTTGAACCCAGGGAGCAGAGGTTGCAGTGAGCCAAAATTGTGCCACTACATTCCAGCCTAGGCAACAGGGCAAGACTCCATCTCAAAAAAAAAAGCAGAGGAAAAAAAAAAAAAGGTGGGCAAGGGACATGAACAGATGCTTTTCAAAAGAAGATATACATTCGGTCAACAAGGATATGAAAAAAAGCTCAATAACACTGATCATTGGAGAAATGCAAATCAAAACCACAATGAGATACCATCTCACCTCAGTCAGAATAGCTATTATTAAAAAGTTAAAAAATAACAGATTCTGGTGAGGTTACAGAGAAAAGAAAACACGTATACACTGTTGGTGGGAATATAAATTAGTTCAACCATTGTGGAGAGCAGTGTTGTAAGTCCTCATAAAGCTAAAAACAGAACTAACATTCTACCTACCAATCCCATTACTGCGTATATAACCAAAGAAATACAAATTATTCTCCCATAAAGACACATGCATGTTCGTTACAACACTATTCACAATAGCAAAGACATGGAATCAACCTAAATGCTTATCAGTGACAGACTGAATAAAGACAGTGTGGTATGAGGTCTGGTGGCTCATGCCTGTAATCCCAGCACTTTGGGAGGCCACGGCGGGGGGATCACATGAGACCGGGAGTTCTCTGGCCAACATGGCAAAACCCCATCTCTACTAAAAATAAGGAAATTAGTTGGGCACGGTGGTGTACTTCTGTAATCCCAGCTAAACAGGAGGCTGAGGCTTGAATCCTAGAGGTGGAAGTTGTAGTGTGCTGAAATTGTGCCATTACACTCCAGCCTGGGTGACAGCATGAGACTCTGTCTCCAAAAACCATAAAAAAAAAAAAGGAAAGAAAATGTAATATACATACACATGAAATACTATGCAGCCATAAAAAAGAATTCAATCAGCTGGGGGTGGTGGCTCACGCCTGTAATCCCAGCCCTTTGAGAGGCCAAGGCAGGCACATCATTTGAGCCCAGGAGTTCAAGACCAGTCTGAGCAACATGGCACCACATCCAGCTACTTGGGAGGCTGAGGTGGATGAATGGCTTGAGCCCAGGAAGACAGGGCTGCAGTGAGCCATGATCACGCCACTGTTCTCTAGCCTAGGTAACAAAGTGAGACCCTGTCTCACAGAAAAAAGCATGAGATCATGTCATTTAGCCTGAACATGAATGGAACTGGATGGAGACCATTATTCTAAGCAAACTAACACAGGAACAGAAAATCAAATACCACATATATTCTCACCTCTGAGTGGGAGCTAAGTGATGAGAACACATAAACACAAAAAGGGGAACAACAGACACTGGGGCCTACTTGCACGTGGAGGGAGGGAGGAGGGAAAGGGTCAGAAAAAGTAACTATTGAGTACTGGGCTTAGTACCTGGGTGTCAAAATAATCTGTACAACAAACCCTTGTGACACGAGTTTACCTCTATAACAAGTCTGCATATATACCCCTGAACCCAAAATAGAAGTTTTAAAAATAAATGAGAATCTCACCCAGAAAAAGTAAATAAATAAATACGTTTGTGATGAGAGAAAAAAAATGTGTTGAGTAGTAGATCATGATTTTTAAAAAATTTCTTGGCCAAGTACAGTGGCTCACATCTGTAATCCTAGCACTTCAGAAGGCCCAGGAAGGAGAATGGCTTGAGCTTAGGAGTTTGAGACCAGACTGGGCAACATAGCAAGACCCCAACTTGTAAAAAAAAAAAAAAAGTGATTAGCTGAGCATGGTGGCACATGCCTCTGGTCCCAGCACATTGAGAGGCTGAGACAGGAGGGTTACTTGAGCCTG